AAATGTTCATGAATTTGTGTGAATAAAAATTGACTATTGATCAGTTGAATTTTGAATTGATCAATTACCATGACAGCTAATAAAAGTTAAGCTCTGACTTGATCGATATTCTTCAATTAAATATGTACATCTAATTGAAGCTTTAAGTTGAAACTTGACACAGGAGAGACATCTTTCTGCAAATGGTTGTTTGCTGCCATTGTGTGCAGTTGATGGCATGGCTGTTACCACAGTGGAAGGTATCGGAAGCACCAAGACTGCTTTGCATCCAGTACAGGTAAATAAATTTAAATGTATATGTGATATGTGACATACATGTATGTTATGGTGTATGTACGATGTGATGCATATTTTTAATTTGTGTTAAACTACAAAGATGCTTTACCTGAAACAAATTCGAAATCCAGGAGATTGCCAATAATTTTTAATTATCTTCTTGACCCTAAAAAAATCCCCAGAAAACTCAGACCCAAAAGTAAAACAATTTTTCACAGCATGTTTGCTGCAAATTGCTTCAAGACCCTTGTTTACTGTTCATCAATACACCAATGTCGGAGTTTTTTGGGTCTGAGTTTTTAAGACACCCAGAGGGTCTGAGTCTTTCAGGTCTGAGTTTTCAAGACATCCAGAGGATCTGAGTTTTTAGGGTCTGAATTTTTGAAACACCCCAAAACGTGGCAAAAATATGTCTGAAAAATCATTTTATTAATAAGGCACTTTCCTTGATATTGGCTGGGAGACTTAATTGGCGACCTGTATGGGAGACTGGAAGAATAGGTCTGTATCTGCATGGGCAGACTCTTAGATAATCTGGCAGAGTGGCATAGATGCAAATTAAGTTAATGGGGTATTGGGTTAGGCCCTTAATGACAGCCCTGCAGATGTCTGAACATTGTTCCTCAGTCCATCTTGTTTTTGTTCTTGTTGTTGTGTTTTAAAAGGAACGGATTGCTAAATCTCATGGATCTCAGTGTGGATTTTGTACTCCAGGAATTGTAATGTCCATGTATGCTCTGCTGAGGAACAACCCTTTACCAACACACAAAGAAATGGAAAGTGCCTTTGAAGGTATAATTGTAAAGAGTATTAAAGGAAAAACTCCCTCTTGTTTCATCAAAACTGTGTTATAGATACTTTAGCAGCTAAAAATAGTGGCATTTTGTCATGAACACTGTAAGTGAGACCAGAGTCCTTGATTTATACCCTTAAGGGAGACAACAAACATTCCCAACCTTTTCTTAAGGGAATCCCTCTTGTCATGATGTGTTTTCAGTTTAGCTTTCGTTCTGCAACTTTTGCAGGACATGGTTTAGTAGTGTTAAGATTTTTTGTTTAATCTGCTTTCCAGGAAATTTATGCCGATGTACTGGTTACCGGCCCATTCTGGAGGGATTTAAGACCTTCACAAAGGTTACAATTTGCAAAAGTTAACTTTCTTTAGTTCACATAATTATATGGAGTGGAATCCCGATTTCTTGAACCTTCAATTTTTTGAACCTCCCGATAGCTCAAACCAAAAGTCATTCCATCTCCTTAGTCGAACACTGTAGTAATTTTGTCCCCGATTTCTCGAACTCTCCAATTTTCTTCAAACCAAGTTTTGTTTCCCTTGGAGGTTCAAAAATTGGGATTCCACTGTATGCTTACGTGTATCTTGACTTCATCACTCAATACCTTGTTATTAGTTTTTCATGCCATGCTTCTGAAAGTTAGTTAGTAACCAAATGAACATCTGAAATCAAAAAATGCCAAGTAAATAAATTACAATCTGGATGAAATATGTCAATGTAAACTTTTATTAGAAAAATTTAAACTAATAACTAATTGAATTAAACACCAATAAATAGTTGAGTAACACCAAATAATTCTTACTATAACTCTCTTGAATAAAAAAAGACTAGAAATTCCAGTTAAGCTTCATACATTTCTTTAAATGTTTTGGTCTTCCAGAACCCCCTACCCCCTAGGAAATTCCAATCCCTTCTGTGGGGGGCATGGATATTTCTGGAACTGCACAATTAGACTGCGGGCGGTTTGTTTTTCTCTCAAAATCAGGAAGGGAGTATGATGTCCCTCTCTTCCATTTCACACTTTTGCATTCAAGTTTGCACCCTAAGAGAAAAAACCAACAGCTGCCAGCAGTCTGTCTTTGAGGACTTCGTGGCTGTTATAGTTATAAACACACCCTAAGAATACATGTACATTTTGACATAGTTACATGTAGTTAATTAAATATTAGAGAAGTCAAGAATGACTTTTATGGCAAACGGCAGTAATGAAAGTGTTGCTGTCTGTCTTTTAAGCTGTCTGTACGGTAGAGAGAAAATAATATTGTGTTTGTGGTGAATAGTAGGAGAAGTTATTCATTTTTGTGTGATTTATTTAAGGATTAGAAGAAAAGAACACAAAGTTAATTTTTGCCATTTGCTGTTTGCCATTTGCCATAACCTTCATGCTTATATAACCTGTCTATAAGTAACTTAATTGCAATGGACTAGACCTTCCCTCTTGTATGAACTGTGATTATTTTTTGTGTTGAAGGAATGTTGCAGTAAGGGAGGGAATGGCTGTTGCAAGGAAACAAACCAAAATGGAACCTGTAATGGCACTGTGCAGAATGGTGTTTTAAATGTGAGTTTTCCATGTCTTTTCTAATACTGTTCTTAGATACATTGTTGCACCATCTTAAATTCTTGAACCCTTAGGAAAGGATATAAAATTTTATGGGAGATAATATCAACATCTCTGTACATCTCCTGGAAATAATACACCGTACGTTTGCTTGCCCCAAACTCAAAGAGGGTCAATATTGGAACCACCTCATGCAACTTCATTGTGTAGCTCCAGAAAATATCCATACCTCCCCCACGGAAGGGAATTTTTCTAAGTCCCCCCCCCCCCCCCC